TCAGCTTCTTCAGCATCATGAAGTGGACGCAGCTCTGGACGCGCCGCTCGTCGATCTCCGCAGCCTGGCCAGGGACAAGGAGGGAGGTGTTTGAGGCACAGGCACCAGGAGCCCCTCCTGCTGCCCCTGCTGGGCCTGTCCAAAAGGGGCTTTGGGCTTTGTGGAGCAGCCACGACGTGCATCACCAGAGCTCCACAGCCAGGCTCACAGAACCCTGCTGCAAATTACCTGGGAGGGGGCCAGGCTCGCTTCTTGGGCAGCTGGAGCCTGAAGCACTCACCCTGCCCTGCCCCAGCCGTGGGGGGCTGCTGGGTGTCCGCAGGACAGGGGGCACCCAGCCAGCCCCACTGCGGTCTGCCCGGGCTCAATTCCTGCCCCACAGCCCCCTCCTCGTGCTGCAGGAGATCAGTAACTCGGTGTGTGAGCTCTGCTCGGGCAAAGGCCAAACTCCTCAGCTAAACCGAGGTGTGCTTTCCAGGAGGGAGGCGGCTCCACGTCCCTCACTCTCTACAGAGGACGCGAGGGCTCCTGCTCTCTCTCAGGTTAGTGGAAAACATCAACGAGCAAAACACATTAAACACAGCCCCAAGGCTTCTCCTCCTTACGTTGTCCTTGATGCCCCGGCTCTTCAGCTCCTGGATCTCAGCCATGAGCCTCTGAAGCTCCTGGCAGGTCTCTCTGTAGAGCTCATAGTCTTTGATGGGGTCCCGGAGATCCACTTCACACTCCTCGCTGTAGTACCGGAGGTCCTGCAGGGGCAAAGAGCACCTCGTGAGCCTCCCTCCTTCCACCTCCTCTGGACAGGGAGTGGGACATGAGCCAGGGGCTCAATCCCTGCCTCTGGCCATGAACCCCACACCCAGGCCTCAGCTGACCCCAGACACTAAAGCACCCGGGAGGCTCAGGCTGTCCTTTATGGAGTTATTGTGGTTTAAACTGGTACCTCCCCTGCACTGCTGCATCCCCATGATCAACTGGGAAGGAAACTACTTCTCTAGTCCTTATCCCCACTTTGGCTGAACCCAAGTTTCCCCATAGAATCATGGAATGGTTTGAGTTGAAAAGGACTTGAAGCTCATCCGGCTCCAACCCCTGCCATGGGCAGGGACACCTTCCACTAGAGCAGGTTGCTCCAAGCCCCTGTGTCCAACGTGGCCTTGAACACTGCCAGGGATGGGGCAGCCACAGCTTCTCTGGGCACCGTGTGCCAGCGCCTCAGCACCCTCACCAGGAACAGCATCTGCCTTGTCTCCAACCTGAACTCCCCCTGTTCCAGCTTGAACCCATCACCCCTTGTCCTGCCCCCCAGTCCCTAACCAAGAGTCCCTCCCCAGCAGCCGTGCTCACAGAAGTGTTTTAAGGCCACGTGCAAACCCTTGTGCTCGCTCTCCCTGTGACCCCACATAAGCGTTTGGCTCCTTGAGGGCCGTGTTCCCTGAACGAGATGGAAACAGCTCTGGAAACTCTGGCGTTTCAGAGGCGTCGGGAGCTGCCTCGGCTCTGGCAGAC